TGCTTTATCTAATGCTCCTTTTTCAACATTTCCAAAGAAGTGCCATTTGGATAAAAATACACTTTAGAACCACAGCATTATGCTAATGGATTTTTAAGAATCATGTCTTCCCAGGATGATGGTGAAAAATTACTTCAGGGTCTGAGGTGTTATGTCGCCCAGGGGAATGCTGTACATTGGATTTAATTGCTTAATAACTTAAAGTCAAATGGTTTTTTATATGATCCACTCTACTGAAGAGAATCCTTTCATTGTTGCTAAATTTTCATTAACTTTTTCTTCCTAAGCTATAGTTTTGAGACTACCATGTTACGGGGTGGCGGGGGAGCAAGGTCTGTTCCATGTTATGGGGGGGAGGGGGCAAGGCCTGTTCCTCTGCTCCCCACTCCCTTCATCTTCCTTATTATTCTTCAGGTTTTTCGTTGAGCTAAAAAGCACTTATATTTCAGTTCATCCTTCAAGTTTATAGTCACTGTGCACGAATCCCTCCGAGCATAGTTACAAAATCCCAAGACTCTGGGATGCCATAACTCAGATATACTTAGGTAGAGGTCCTGGAGGATGGGGGCTATGGGTTATACACAGTGTGAGGAGTTTGCTGTGAGACTGGTATTTGGGGACATATTTGGTGTTAGAGAATAAACATCGAAGCCAAGCACCGGACCCAAAATCTCTCCCTTTCTCTTGTATGAGCCATGGCTTGTTTGTGATCAAGTTGTGTGGCCAAAACTGAGAAGGGGAAGAGAGGACTGAACATCTGTCCCTCCCAGCCCATAACATGCCAAAACTCATCTTCTTTATGCTTAGGTCACCTGGCATTTATGAGTCTGCTCCCCATGAGGAGGAAGAATTCTGGAGGAATGCCAGTTCGCCCATCAAAGAGAAGACCGTGATGTCTTCTAGTCTCCAACGTGTCTCCATGGTCTCCAGCAATACCACGCCAAACTTTTTTGGTGCCATGGGAAAAACCTGAAGCACATGGAGAATTGCTTCCATACCTGTGACCCCTTCAGCTTTGCGGTAACTGGTGCAGAATATGACTCTCCGAGTTCAGTTTCTCATGCCGTCCTTCAGAGCCCAACCAAAGAACGCGCCTCCTCGGTGTCTAGTGCATTGATGACGGCCCACTTTTGTATTTGTTTCTGTTGCTTGTGCCTTGCTGACATCTTCTGCCATCACAGGATACCCTTAAAGTTTCCCAGTCAAACTCACATGCATAAGGACTCCTCGAGGGCTTGCCCATGGCTCATTAAACCAGCTGTTCAAGGGCTCTACCATGAGGCACTGCATCAATTGCTGCATTCAGTTGCTCCCTGAAGACACCCACAAACAACAAGTTGGCTGCCAAGGAGGCTCCCATCACAGTCATCAGGCGTGCCCCACGTGCAAAGGAGAAAACAAAATTCTGTTTCGTGTGGACAGTAAGCAGATGAACTTGCTTGCTGTGCTCGAAGTGAGGACTGAGGGGAATGAGAGCTGGGGTGGGTTTTTGCGCTTTAAGAAGGGAAAGCGATGTAGCCTGGTTTTTGGATTGATAATAATGACCCTGGTGATGGCTTCTTACATCCTTTCTGGGGCTCACCAGGAACTTCTGATTTCATCTCCTTTCCATTATGGGGGCTTTCCCAGTAACCCCAGCTTGATGGACAGCGAGAACCCAAGCGACATGAAAGAGCATCACTTCCAACCCTCTGTAAATAATATCTCCTATGTGAAGGACTATCCAAGCATTAAATTAATTATCAACAGCATCACAGCCAGGATTGAGTTCACTACTAGGCAGCTCCCAGACTTACAAGATCTCAAAAGGCAAGAGTTGCATGTGAGTAGCCGCATGTTCATCTCCATTGACTGACTTTAAGAAATAGATGTTTCCTTCTCTACTGCTGTCTTTGGGAACACAGTAGGAACACGACCCAGCTAGCTCTCAGATGTATTATAGCAAGGATAATTTGACAGCCTGTGGGATGAGAATGCACTGTCTTTTATGCTGTGGAATGCCAAGAAGGGAATTTGCTACCCTGAATGGTCCTACTGGAAATGTTTAAGGGCCCCCTCTTACCATAATTGCATTCCAGGATTTCTTGCCTAGAGTGGGGTCACGGTGCTTAAAGTCACTTTTGTAGATCTCTGCCATTCAGCACTTTAAAGATGGGTTCAATGTAATCTTTTCCTCCTCTGTCCCCATCATTACTTTCTTCTCTAATGGCTATCTAAATATACAAGTGGTGGAAAGACATCAACTGCTTAAATTGCATGTGTGCGTGCGTGTGCGCGCGCACTCACGTGCAGGTAGGAGAGAGAAATCATAGCAACAGAATGAATATTGACTGAACTGGTTTTCATTCTCTTCAAAACATTTGGAAAGAAGAAAATATATCTTTGGCTGTCTACCAAGGTTGGCTCTATCTTTTAATCATAGCTGACTATCCACTGTACCCAGGATTAGGGCATGATCACAGGGGGTTAGATGTTTTTTTTTTGAAACAGGGTCTCTTGTAGTTCAGGGTGACCTTGAACGCCTATGTAGTAGAAGCTGGCCTTGAACTCCGCATCCTCCTGCCTCTACTTCTAAGTACTGGGACTGCAGGTGTGGGTCAACCGCTCCTAGTTTAGAATATGTTTTTGCCCAGTTGTTACAGTCCTTCATCGTGTCCCCCCTCTTCCTTTTTCATTGCAGATGTTTTCTGTAATCCCCAATAAATTCCTTCCAAACAGCAAGAGCCCCTGCTGGTACGAGGAGTTCTCTGGGCGGAACACCACCGACCCCTACCTGACCAACTCCTACGTGCTCTACTCTAAGCGGTTCCGCTCCACGTTCGACGCTTTGCGCAAGGCCTTCTGGGGCCACCTGTCGCATGCGCATGGGAAGCACTTCCGCCTGCGCTGCCTGCCGCACTTCTACATCATTGGGCAGCCCAAGTGCGGAACCACTGACCTCTATGACCGCCTCCGGCTGCACCCGGAAGTGAAGTTCTCGGCCATCAAGGAGCCGCACTGGTGGACCCGGAAGCGCTTCGGTGAGTCTTGCGTCTCCTTTCATTCTTTCTCCATCTGTCCTTGGGTGCTTGGTATAGATGGGGCTGGTGTGAGGCTCTTGGGGGAAAGGCGAGGTAAGGGAAGAGAAAAGTTATGTTGAGATTCAGAGATCAGACGCTTGTCATGTGACATTTGAATTGATTGTTTTGTGTTGCTATAACAAAACACCAGAGGCTGGGTAAACTGAAAAGGAAAGAGATTTATTTGGCTCCTGATGATGGGGAATGAAGGGTCCAAGCAGACTGTGTTGATGTCCTAGCAAGAGCCCTGTGGCTGCATCGCAGGGGGGCAGAGAAAGGAAAAGGGAACTGGCTGTGTGCAGCAGAGGCCAAGTCCACAGTGCAGCCTGGCTGTGTAATAACCCACTCCAAGAGAACAGCATTAGCCTCTTTCTAGGCAGAGCTTCTATAACCTGCTCACCTTCCTCCAGACCCTCTTAAAGGGTCACATCACCCTCAGCATCCCACCCTGGGTACCAGGCTTCTAGCACGCGAACCTTTGGGAGACACACTCAGACTTACAGCAGCATTTCACAGGCAAAGACCCACTAAGGGCAGGAAGTCCATTCCCAACCACCCAGTGAACACTAATTGAGTGCCAGCCTTATGCAGGGCAAGGGAGCAGATGCAGAATGGGCAGCTCTTGTTCTGTGTGTGTGTGTGTTGGGGGGGTACTATGGCTCAAACCCAGGACCCTGCACATGCTGGATATGCCCTTTACCACTAAGCTACCTCCCCAGATCTTCTGCTTGCCTTCAAGAACCCTGATGCATGACCCCAGTGGGGATCGGTATGTGCCAGGGGCTGGGGTGGCAGGCACCCAGCTCTGTGCTTTCACATGGAAGCCTTCAAACCTGCAGGAGACAGCACTTGAGGCTTCAGCTTGTGTGACCTGCCCTGTCTGCCTCATGTGTTTGAAATGCAGTGGAGACATCTCTGGAGACCCTGGTCACATCACTCCTGTGTAACTGGGTTGATCGCGGACCCCGCCTGGCCTGCCCCTCTTGGTAGACTTGTTTCTGCTCCACCCAACCTCAGGCAACCTGTAGCCTACGGGTCACTATTTCCTGTCCGTAACCTTTTCCTTCTGCCAGGAGACATTTGGTCACTGAAACTAAGGGGTGATACATGGGCCCCTTGTCTGCCAAAGTCTGGGCAGAGCCACGAGGGCGTTTTTCCACTTAAAGGACCCAGGTTACTAGAAAAGAATTTTAAATGTTGTTTAGACCAACTCTTAATGTGCTTCCTGACAAACGTTTCATTTCATCCTTTTGATGTTCATTCCAGAGTGAACAAAAGTCTAAGTGTTTCTTTTGTGGTTTGGGAACAGCTGCTGAGGTAGACAAGGTTGTCGGACGTGTCTAAGCACACTTCTGCCTGTCAGATGTTTCCCCTCCACAACACTGTTTCCCCTAATGAAAACCAGCCTCCCACTGGCAGGAAGGAGGGAAGGACTGGGTGTGCTTCTGAAACTGGTATTCAAGGTCACCTTGAATTGCCAAAGCCAGTTCTCCTTCCACTTCACAGTAACTTTGGTAGCGGCGGTGCTGGGCAGTGTGTGTTCTTGCATGTTTACAAGCCATCTTAAGGCAAGGGGCAAATTTAGGCACTATGTGGTTGATGGAGTACTATCACTTCCCCCTCCTGTTTGGACCAGTGGCACGCTGCTTGATGGACTCCACCTATGGATAGAACATTAGGCACATGCCATCGGGTCCTGTAGAAAGGGGTGCTAGGAAGGCTATAGGATATTGCCTCCTCACTTACTGCCCTTGGGCCTTCTTCCTGTTTGACGTACCATGTGCACCCTGGCTGGCTGCATTCGTTTACTGCCTGGCTGCTTTAGTTTCTCTTGGTGACTATGTTAACCAGATCTCAAATCCAGCTGTCCATGTAGCCACATTTCTAGCTCTCGAAAACATGTGGCATCCTTTAAGTGACTACTGCCCAGTGCTGGTGGTGTTTACTGCCCCTGAAGCATGCATGGCCTGGAAGTGAGAGCCAGTTCCCAGGTGCCTGCACACCCCTCCAAGGGGCCTCCCAGAAGCTTCCCTGCCCAAGCCTTCTGCTGCTGCGCATGGGTCTCCTGGACTTTTCCTTCCCTCTCTGGGTGTGCTCCAGGAGGCCAATCCTCCAGCAGCGGCAACTTTGTCTTCAGTAACCTGCTCCTTGGTTCCTATAGGAATCGTCCGCCTGAGGGATGGACTGCGAGATCGCTACCCTGTGGAAGATTACCTGGACCTCTTTGACTTGGCTGCACACCAGATCCATCAGGGACTGCAGGCCGCCTCTGCAGTGGAGCAGAGCGTGATGAATAAAATCATTATCGGTATGACTTCTGTGCAGCTCTGGGGGCGCTGGCGGGAGCAGTTTCTCTGGGGTCCTGATTCATGCTCTGTGCCCAGCCCAGCCCTGCCTCAATTGCAGAGTGTTTGCAGCTGCTTCCCTTCCCCACCTGGCTGTCACTCTTAGCCCCCAGATGAAATGATCCCGTCGTTTGTGCCGTTACTATAAAGCAGAAATGTTTAGACGGCCTGCTCAGTCCGTGCTGCAGACTTGGGGTGACTGAAGTGTTGCCAGTGCTTAGTTTTCACCTGACGTAGCAGGCGTGCTGGGCTTCTCTTCATAACGCCTTGCTCTAGCCGAGCCACCTGATTAGTCACTGATTGAATACTAGAGCTGTGGTACCCTGGGCGAATGAGGTGGCAGCATCTCACTCTGCACTTAGGCAGAGCCCCGCACATTACCTGGGCCCAGTTGTTGTGTAAAGCCATCACCCTTGTCAACCAAGTGCCTTTGAACATGAGGTTGTTTGAGTGGCACATGCCTGCAGTCCTAGCACTCAGAACGTGGAGGCAGGAGAATCCAGAGTTTGGGGCCTGCCTAGGCTATATAACAACACCCTGTCTCAAAACAAACAGCCCCCAAACCCCCAAAAACCCAAGCGAAGCAGATAAAGCAAAGCAAAATAAAACAAAATTGAGGTGGTTTGATTAATAATTTGCTTAAAATTTTGCAGGAATAGTTCACTGAAAATGTATGCTGACTCTTTAAAAACCTGTCTATATTTGGTGTACACACATTTTGATAAACAGGTACATAATGAAATGATTACTGCGGCTACTCAAATTTGTCTCCTCACAGTCTCTTCCCTTTCTCCCTCCCTCCTTCTCCTTTCGAGTGGTGGGAACACTTGAAATCCCTCTTGGCAATGACAGCATACAGACAATATTATCATCTCAAGCCCCCACACTGGGTGCTGACTATAGAGTTACTCCACATAGCTCTTTCCGTAGGATTCAGCTTAGTATGAGGTGTTCATCTCCCATACCTCTGAAAGGGAGAAATTAAATCATACATTTTTCTTAAATTGGTTACATGAGGCGATGATCTACTTTGTGTCCCTGGATCTATTATATTTTGATTCTCCAAATCAAATGAATTTCTCAGTGTTGTAACGAGCCACGTGGATAGGGACTCTTTCCTTGTGAGGAGATGCTGGCTTGTGCCAAAGCTCTGACTGATAAAGGTTTTTAAAAACTCTTAAGTAACATCTCTGGGATCCAGTGGGAATGTGCTGTGCCCACACCCCATACCTGTAGTATGAATTAGCTCTTAGTTTTTTAATTTCAAACTCAGGAGTGCAAACATCCCATATAATAACCCTAATTGATATTGTGCTGTGACTCCCGTACCATATGCCTCTGGGGAAATCTTAGGTTCTATGAAAAAGCTAAAAATATTCCTTCTAGGGCTAGGAAACAGACTTAGAAAATGAATGAAAAAGGAAAGCCTTCGTTTGGTTTGCTAATTTTAGTTACTGTAATCTTTCAAAAAGAACAAGAAATAAAAATATCACGCTGGTATTTGCTCCAAGCCAGGTTTGCTGCTTTAACTTATGGTAGCTTCATGCTATGATAGGCTGGGTGGGAAGGCTGATGAAGAACTGCATCTGGCCCTGTCAGTGTCATCAGCCAGCTTTGTGCCACGTGACAAGTCAGGTCTTTGTCCTGGTCATAGTCTACATGTCTGTTAAATGGGCTTGTTGGGCCAAATCAGCTTCTGGCTTCTCCCAGCCATGGAATGTGACTCACCCCTACTTCCTCCCAATGAGGGCCTTGGCAGAGGTCAGAGGGTCACATCACCTTGGATTATGGACCATGGGTCAGAGAGGGCCCTTCCTTAGCAGCCTCTGGCAGGAGAGGTACTCAGTGGAGTTGAACTGTACAGGCATGTTCTGAGGGGCTGGGGCTCTGGGTATGTTGCAAGGCCCTGCTCTGCCTGCATGGTGCCCCTCCCCTGTCCACTCAGAGGTAGCTGATGGCTTCCTCTTGAGGAAATGGTCTGTGCCTGCCTTGTTTCCCTCATCAGTCCTCCGTGCTATGATAGTATGGGGTGCAGATTAGATGCCAAGCAAATGATCTCTGGGTGCATGGGGGCTGGATGATGGCTGGATGGACAGACAGGCAGGAAAATGGACAATGCCTTTGTGGTTCTAGAACCCGTTTATTTTTGAGATCTCCTGGAATTTGTGTCAGTTTGGGTTTAGACACCCCACTTGTCTTCCCTGGTCCCTTATGCACTGTGAGCAGAGTTTTCAAAGGATTTCTAACTGATTGTCTCTTCTGTATCCTATTATCTGTTTTTTAAAAAAATAAGAAAGGAAAGAAGGCCAGAACAGAAATGTTCACCTGGCGTGATCACGCACCCAGAAGAAGAAATGGGACCCCGATGTCATCATATATGACTATAATGTGTTTATCACGGACCAGGGAGACTGAGTGTTTTAACTCAGATTTTTTCCCCAACAAGTGACTTTGAGTTGTGGCATATGGTCCTGTGTATGATGTCCAGAAATTGGGTATAGATCTGTCTGATTGATTTGCCTTTCTTTCTACGTCTCTGGAGACAGACACAAAACCAAACCAAAATAAAATAAGATAAACGGGGCTGGAAAGATGGCTTATTTGGCAGCGTTTGCTGTATAATCTTGGGGATATGAGTGCAGATCACAGATCCCCAGCACCCACGTAAAAGGACAGGCATGGCTACACATATTTGTAAACCTAGTGCTGAGGAGGAAGAGATGGGGATCTCTGGGGCTTGCTGGCCAGTCTAGCCAGTTGGTGAGCTCCAGGTTCAGTGAGAGAGACCTTGTTTCAAAAAGATGGTGCAGTAGAGGACGCTATCCAGTGTTGACCCTCTGACCTCCATAGGCGCATGCACACACATGTATACAAATACATCAACATTGGACACCACACACACACATACACACACACACACTAATGATAAAATCAAGGAATTAGTTCAGTTATCTGAGAGAGTCTGTGTTGTTGAAGTACTTAGATCTTGGACTATCCTGTATCCCTAAAGATATGCTTAATATTTTCACCCTTCTGTCAGGTAGACTGTGATAAGACGGGGCTGGGGGGGGAGGTACTTTGTTGGTACAGTAATGCATCAGTCTCATAAAATAGGGCTGGACCTTATTCAACCAGCAATGAGTGCCAGCTGTGTGCAGAGAACAGGGAGAGGTGTGGTCAGTGGACAGCTGGCCATGTAGGAGAGACCCTGAGGCTGAGGACTCCTGGGCTTCTGGCAAAGCCCCCTCTCATTTTGTCCTAGAGTGTGCCCTGTGACTTACTGTTATGGTTCCAAGGAAAGACAGATGTGAACTGCATCCAGCTTTCCATCGAGGGTTTGCTTCCCCAAATGACTCCTTTCTCTTCCTGATGCATTTTGAAGGAAACCATCTAGCAGATTCAGTGGGTCCTTAAAATGTCACAGAGCTGTGAGCTGCCAGCAGAGATAAATTTTGTTAAATTAAGGGTTTGGACATTGATAAGGTTATATTTTCATTCACTTCTGGGGAAGGGGCTGGGGTTGGGGCCACTGTGGCTAGAGTGGGCTCTAGGCTTCCTCTCCCCGGATCCCTGGAGCCCCGTCTGCCAGTGATGGCTGACCAGCTTGCCTGGTTTCCAGCTCACAGTGAGAACCCATACCCTGTGCCTCAGGGACTGCTCATTTACATGTCCCCATCTGTTTACAGGGGAGGCCAGTGCCTCTACAATGTGGGATAACAATGCCTGGACCTTCTTCTACGACAACAGCACTGACGGCGAGCCGCCATTCCTGACCCAGGACTTCATCCATGCCTTTCAGCCCAACGTCAAACTCATAGTCATGCTCAGGGACCCTGTGGAGAGGTGAGCGGTGGGCACTATGCTTTGCATTTGGGGTGGAAAGAAAAGATTTCCTTGGAGAGCAGTGCTGTCCTTCTCCTTCACAGGCAAGATTTTGCCTTTTTCAAAAATAAATTAATAAATGAGTAAACAAGCTTAACTTGTAATGTTACTGCTATTTCTTATGTAAATGTTATTCTTCGGGCAATCCTCCTTGCATTTAAACAAGTTGTGGATTGTTCTCTCAGCAATTTTGACCCTGGTCTATGGGCCTTGTCCTCTGGTGGGTTTGATTTAGAGCTCTTCTGATGCTCTCCAGGCTTGGGGACAGCCTTAGGGTCACGGGTGTTGGGATTCTCTGTGTGGTCTGTCTCCCAGAATGCCCCATCTCTTGAGTTGGTTGATCCCTTTTCCTCCGTTAGCTCCGAACATGCACTCCCTGGTTTTCCTGGAGATCAAAATGGTGGTGGTAGTGGTGATGATGGTGGTGGTGGGAGATGATGGACAGGCCCACTTTGCCTTTAATAAGGTATGAGTCTGCCCAGGTCTGGGTGAGGCAGAGCTAGTGTGTTATGGGACAGTGCCAGGGTGGTACATTGATGATGCTGTGTGTACTGTAGGCTGCCAGGACCTTTGTGTTACTTAGTCTACTGTTCCCTCCAAATACTATCACACTGGAAATAAAGGGATCTCTAGCATGCCCAAAGTGCCTCAAGACAGGGAATCTCCACCCAAGATGGCCAGTCTAGATAAGAACAGCTCGGCTTCCTGTTCAGAGACCAGCTCTGTCTTTTGTCCACCCTTTGGTCCCATTTCACACAGCCCAGTCTAATCATTTCAAACTGGGAGATATTTAAAGACAAAGCTTGCAGCCCTTTGTGTTTTACTTCCCGTGTTTTCCAATGGGTTGAATTATGTCTCCATCCTAAATAAGGAAGTCCCAAGCCCCATTCCTTATTGACCTTGGCTGTATTTGGAAATAGAGTCTTTGCAGATGGATTGAGGGACTTGCCATGTCAAGAGATTGGAGGGGGTGGACACAAGTAAAGGGGTACTGAGGACTGCTGGTACTCACTAAGAGCTAAGAGGGAGGCATGATGCCCCAGAGGAAATCAGCCTTACCAACATTGACATTCACACACCCAACTTCCGGCATGATAGGTTAACTTCTTGAAACAGATTTGTATGTGCAGGTGTGTGCAGTGTGTGCAGATATAACAGTCTAGACTCCCGTTGCTTCTGTTTAGCATGGCTACCCCTGGAGGACGTGCTTGTACCTCCTGCTTGTTGAGTTGGGTTCTACAGCCTTCTCCCAAGGCTCCAGACAGGCTATGACTCCTCTTGGTGCTACTGATCAGAGGACCATCCCTCCAGGGCAGCCTGGGACACAGCAGTCTCCTGGGCCTAGACCCGGGACAGCCACTGCTTGAGGCTCTCCTCTGCTGTTGACTTAGGATCTGGCAGCCATGGTCTTCGGACTGGTGTTCATTCTTCCAGGTAGGGACTTCACCGCTTTCTTCATGGAGTAGGCTGGACTTTCCTGGCCTGGAGCAGCTGGCACAAGCCAGGGGTGTACTGCTGTGGACAGCATTGCACAACCTCTGCTTGTGGAAACTGACCCTCACCACCCGCTGAGGTGTTTTTACAGCTGCTCGTCCGTCCTTCTTCCCCCCATGCTGCCGCAAGCCCAGGTTCCCAGGGCAGAACATTCTCTCTTTCTGATCACTAACACTCCCTGCTGTTTCTTCCTGCTTCTCAGTTCTGAGGAAGGCCAGCCAGTGCCCGATTTGAGGGCCTGAGAGTGAGAACTTCTGGCCTTGGTAGCTCCTTGGGCAGAGGTGGGGACTGGGCTTGCTTCTGTGTGTGCCAGCCCTGGAGAGACAGGAGCTCCTGGACTAGGTGGGGAGACAGGCATGGCGACTGTTTGTCACATACACAAGGGAAGAAGGTGAACTGAGGTGAGAACAGAACACACAATGCGCATAGAGGCAGAGACCATGCGCCTTCTTGTTGGAGAGTGGAGCCAGCTTCCCTGAGACTGTCCCTTCCTTTGTGGACTTGTGCCTCTGCCTTTAAGGTCATGAGCACCAGGACAGTGAGCCTTGGAGCAGCAAGACAGCTATGTTGGCTAGCCCCAGACTCTTGACCAGGAGCAGGACCTGCTCAACCTGGCCCAGTCATCACCCACCGTGGCATTGCAAGGGGCTCACGTTCACAACTGACCCACTCTGTTTCCTTCTTGGTTGTTTTTAAGGAACAAATATCCTCTCCTGGGAACTAAAGGTAAAAGTTTTTTTTTTATCTCTCTGGTCCTCAGCTTAACACAATATTTCATCAGCAGAAGCATTTATCGCGCCTCTACTACATGTTGGGTGCTGTGCTGTGTGCTGTGCTGGGTATTGAATGGAAAGCTGTGGTGGTGGTCCAGCAGGAGTAGGCATTGACTATCCTGACCTGTGTGAGGTACAGAGCAGGGGAAGGAAGGATGTACAGCCATACCCATTAGATGGGGTGTGGCCTGCTGTATTAGTTATCTAGGGCTGTGTAGCAAGTTGACCCAAGCTGTAGTAGCTTCAGGGTTGAGGTGTCTGCTAGGGTTGGGATCTTACCCAAAGGCACCCAAAGGCTTGGTGGGGCAGGGGCTTGGTCATCTTCCTCACTCACATGGTTATGGGTAGAACATAGTTACTACAGGGCTGTTGGAACACAGGCCTCTGTTCTTTGCTGACTGTCAGCTGGAGGTAGCCCTCTGTCCCTGGCCACTAGGCTTTTCCAGCATGGCTGATGACTTCATCAAAGCAACAAGGGAGAGAGTTGGCCGAAGATCACTTGTGATCTAATTGCAGGTCTGATATCCCAACACTGTGGCTGTATTCTGTATACCACAAACAAATCACCTGGTTCAGCTACTTTCAGTCGGGCGAGGTGGGTGATGATGGCACGCACACACAGGTTGTGGATACCAGGAAGTGGGGATCACTGGGGCCACCTGAGAAGTTGACCAGCCTCATTCCTGTGCCCTTGCATTCCCCACCTGGTGCTTGGGAACCTGGTGCCTGCCCCATAGCCCAGAGAAGAGTACCTTCAGCTTGATGCCAGCTTCAGCGACAACAGGAGACTGTCATGTGTGTGCTTGTGCTGTGAGTTACTGACAGCAGCAGCTCTTCCTCTGCTTCTTAAACATTTACAAAAATAGGCAACAATAGAGATTGTGTCCTCTGAAACCCACAGCTCATGGCTGGTCTGGAGCTCCTTTCCCATCTCAGCTAGAAAGAATGATAAATATTGTGTGTTTAGGTCACCCTTGAAGAAACAAACATCCAGAGTCCAAGTTCCCATTAGTTGAACTTGCTCCTGTGCCTTTGGCCTACTTTATTTGTTCCGTGACCTTGACTTCTACCAGTGGGAGATTCCTTGGGCTGTCCAATGTCAGTTGGATTGTCCAGATTCTTCTTTGGAGTCTACAAATCAGCTGGGGTCGGGGGTCATTTCTAGTTTGTGATTTCCATTTAACCTTTATTTCTATAATTACTTAAAGGCAGAGGGGTTGAAAATGTTGGAACTGGAAGCTAACCCAAATAATTTTCAAGTTCCCAGAGAAGTTGTAAACAGTAAGTTACCCCCTACCCCAACCCCTACCCCTGGGGAAGATAGAGGAATAACAGGAGGAAGCGGGTGGGCTGGTTCACACAACAAAGGAATCAGCCAAGAGTTCATGTTCCAAGTCTTTCTGTATGAGAGATTGCAGCGATTTAGAACTAATGAATTCCTAGGCTAAATTTTCCACTTAATTAAAAAGAAGCCAACAACAGACAAGCAGAATTTTTCTTCATTTACTCCTCTGAAATGTCTGTGCCTGTTTTAAATGCATTTCTCATTTGTGAGATGGCCAATAGAGTTCGCTTCCTAACTCAGGGCTGCCCAGCCCCGTTATATCTGAGGCATGACTAGAAGGTGCTGGCCCCTTGACCCTGTCACATTCCTCTTCCATGAAGGGGTATCTGGAGAGAGGCCCTGCACCATCTATTAAGGTTGTTATGGTATCTATGTTTTTGCTTTTAATTCTGTGTGTAGTCATAGTATAATGCCCAGAAACGACCGTCACAGGAACTGTTGGTTTTCACATTTCACAACAATGGGCCTACAGGGAAGGAGGGCTCTGCTCAGTTAAGTAGACTTCAGTCTTGATTCTAATCCCTTGAGCGTTGGAGCCTGGGTAGCTGTGTTCTTCATGTGCTTACATAAACTGACATTTTAACAAGCCTCTGGACTGCTTAAATAATTAATACACATATGATGATAAACTAGGAAGGGAATGAGGCTTTTGATAAAGTGCATCTGTTCATGTGATGTTGTGCATGATGTGCAGAGGAGCTCCAGGCTAAGCATTTGGACAGGGACGCAGGTTTCATTGATGCCCCTGGATCTGCAGAGTATGTGGTGGGTATGTGGGTGGGGAGGGCAAGTTTCCATCCTTGAGTGTGTGCACAGGTGTGCAAGTGGATGTGCCAGGGTCATGGTGATAAGAGGCTGGTGGATGCCCAGATGATCCCTCAGAGCTCCAGCTGTACTGCCTTCTGGCTCTGCAGCCTCTGTGTATCTCATTTTTCATCAGTAAAATGGGAGAAATAGTCTATCTCTAGGATTATGAGAATTAAATGACTCTGTGTGTGTGTGTGTGTGTGTGTGTATTTACATGGTACTGAAGTCACTCATTAAATATTTTTGAGCACCCTCAGTGCACTAAAGCATTGTGTATTGTGTCAGTTGCTCTTCTGTTGCTGTGATAAAATGCTGTGACCGAGGCAACTTAAAGAAGAGTTTGTTTGGCTTATGGTCCCAGACCCTCTCCGGGGAGAGGCCACAGTGGCTGGGGAGACATGGCTGGAGCAGAAAGCTTAGAGATTCAACAGGAAGTAGAGCAAGCTGGAAGTGGGACAAGGCTAAGAACTCTCAAAGCCCACCCCGTGACGTGCTTCCTCCAGCAAGGCCACACCTCCTAAATCTGCAAACAGGGCCACAAA